AAAAACATTCAATTTGTGATGATTGGGAGAAAATGTGATTAGTTTTTGGCAAAGACAGGTCCCGCCATTTCGAAGACATAGAGCTAAATGTGCAAAAAATGGCAATTTTTGAGTGAACTAAGCGTCCGATTTGAATGATCTAAAAAACTTTCTGCTTGTATTGACAAAACAATTGCTTTTGAGGATAAAAAATTATTACATCTTTTTTTATTTTCCATAAAATATTGTGTAATTTTAGATTAAAAATCCAAAAAATTGCCCAGGCTAAGCACAGTCTAAGCGCAACTCTAGTACAAATGTTTACCCAAGCGCGTTTAGACTGTTTATGTATGTAGCACTTTTCCAATTTTGTGAAAACTAATGAAAAATGTGAAAATGTCGCCAAGCTAAGAACAGTATAAGTGAAAATGTCGCACAGAATTATTTGCAAATGCATTTAGACTGTGACTATACGGTAGCACTTTTTCAATTTTGTGCAAATTGGACAATTATTTCTTTTTGAAATTGAATTCGAAATGAAATGACGATTGTTAATGTTCTGGAGATTAAACTGTATTGATTTATGATTTACATTTGATTTGCTCAGACATAACAAGATAGCAAAACTAATGAAAGTTACAGTATTTGTAATAATATATTTGAAAACGTTTAAAACTTCTCGAATATTTCATTACGGCACGAAAAGTTCCAGCAATTTGCCTTAAGGCACAATGCCATACACCACTAGTTAATTCATTAAATTGGAAATTTAGCAGTAAATTCTATTTATTCACTTTTTTTATTTATGATTTATTGGCTTTATGAACTAGTACATTAGCCATATACTAAATTACATGATATCTACACTATCTTTAAAGTCTAGCTTACGTGATATCATTGTTTTATGTATATTTCATTTTAGTTTTATATTATTAGATTTGATGTAAGTATAAAGAGCACCGTATAATCTTGTATCTGGCAGCACTGTTATAAAATTAATTGGAAGGGAGATTTTTTGTTTGATTATTTCCTCCCATAGTTTTTGTCTGCCCTTTTCCCTACACTCCATGACATTCACTTACTCACCTCTTTATCAATTCAATTCTATATATTTTTTTTTTCTTTATTGATTTTTTTTATTAACGTTGTATTTTTATTTATCTGGTTATTTATTAATTTATTATTATTTATCTGTTTATCAATTTATTTATCTATATCTATTATTATACCATAAGTCTTTTCCTCCAGGTGAGGATTATGTCGGAGCCCTCCGAAGTGCCCCCGTTCTGGAGCAGCCGTTTCTTGTCACATCTGATCCCGTCCAGGCTCTACGACGAAGTCGATGGCGGTTATCAGAATGAGACCAGGACGCAGACTTTTAGGGATAGTTGGCATCCTAGGTTCGAACAACCTGCCAGGGATTATGTGGCTTTCAGGAGGAAGTTGGAGGAGTCTAATGTCGCACTGGAGAATATTGTCGTTAGGAAGAAGGATGATGGTGGTTGTTCAGGAGGGAACGAGAATACAGGTGAGGGGAATGGATTTTGATATATTCTTTAGAATCATATTTTACTTTTTCTTCATTTTTTATTTTACTTTACTTTATTCTTCTCGTCTTCTATATTTGTAGTTTATGGCTTTATTCATTATTCTCTGTATGTCATTTAGGTTTGCTTTAGTTGTTTGGCTCTATAATATTATTCCATATAAAATTATAGGTATTATTGCGTTTT